CGATTTAGGGAGTCAGAATTAAGGAAAATTGAAAAATAAAAAAATTCATTTTTTTCTATGGTTATCCCCTTTGGATTTTTATTTACAATGCTTCAAACCTGAGTATCTCGGTAACCAGTGGCGGTACTAAAATAAAATTATCAGGAATTATAGCTCTGGATAAGGGCTTTAAAGTGGTATTTAGTTGAAATCGCTAGCATTTACGGTTTTTGAGAAAATCAAGATTGAACTTTTGAGCAAAATTTTGACTAAAATCTAAATTTGAGCCTCAATACCTCGGAAACCAAATGTAGTATTAAAGCCAAATTGACAGGGCTTGTAGAGAATTTAATGCTCTTTTCAACCATGTATAATTATAGGCAATTTCTTCCAATCTTATTGGAAATATGAGCAATTATCCATGAGCGTATCAAGATTTCAAAAGATTTTTAGAGCCAAAAATGAGATTTCCTTTTGGATTTTTTTTCTCATTGAAATTTCCAAATTCAAATGATGTTAGAGTTGTTTCTGAGTTATTTGGACTCGCTCTATCGATTTAGGGAGTCAGAATTAAGGAAAATTGAAAAATAAAAAAATTCATTTTTTTCTATGGTTATCCCCTTTGGATTTTTATTTACAATGCTTCAAACCTGAGTATCTCGGTAACCAGTGGCGGTACTAAAATAAAATTATCAGGAATTATAGCTCTGGATAAGGGCTTTAAAGTGGTATTTAGTTGAAATCGCTAGCATTTACGGTTTTTGAGAAAATCAAGATTGAACTTTTGAGCAAAATTTTGACTAAAATCTAAATTTGAGCCTCAATACCTCGGAAACCAAATGTAGTATTAAAGCCAAATTGACAGGGCTTGTAGAGAATTTAATGCTCTTTTCAACCATGTATAATTATAGGCAATTTCTTCCAATCTTATTGGAAATATGAGCAATTATCCATGAGCGTATCAAGATTTCAAAAGATTTTTAGAGCCAAAAATGAGATTTCCTTTTGGATTTTTTTTCTCATTGAAATTTCCAAATTCAAATGATGTTAGAGTTGTTTCTGAGTTATTTGGACTCGCTCTATCGATTTAGGGAGTCAGAATTAAGGAAAATTGAAAAATAAAAAAATTCATTTTTTTCTATGGTTATCCCCTTTGGATTTTTATTTACAATGCTTCAAACCTGAGTATCTCGGTAACCAGTGGCGGTACTAAAATAAAATTATCAGGAATTATAGCTCTGGATAAGGGCTTTAAAGTGGTATTTAGTTGAAATCGCTAGCATTTACGGTTTTTGAGAAAATCAAGATTGAACTTTTGAGCAAAATTTTGACTAAAATCTAAATTTGAGCCTCAATACCTCGGAAACCAAATGTAGTATTAAAGCCAAATTGACAGGGCTTGTAGAGAATTTAATGCTCTTTTCAACCATGTATAATTATAGGCAATTTCTTCCAATCTTATTGGAAATATGAGCAATTATCCATGAGCGTATCAAGATTTCAAAAGATTTTTAGAGCCAAAAATGAGATTTCCTTTTGCATTTTTTTTCTCATTGAAATTTCCAAATTCAAATGATGTTAGAGTTGTTTCTGAGTTATTTGGACTCGCTCTATCGATTTAGGGAGTCAGAATTAAGGAAAATTGAAAAATAAAAAAATTCATTTTTTTCTGTGGTTATCCCCTTTGGATTTTTATTTACAATGCTTCAAACCTGAGTATCTCGGTAACCAGTGGCGGTACTAAAATAAAATTATCAGGAATTATAGCTCTGGATAAGGGCTTTAAAGTGGTATTTAGTTGAAATCGCTAGCATTTACGGTTTTTGAGAAAATCAAGATTGAACTTTTGAGCAAAATTTTGACTAAAATCTAAATTTGAGCCTCAATACCTCGGAAACCAAATGTAGTATTAAAGCCAAATTGACAGGGCTTGTAGAGAATTTAATGCTCTTTTCAACCATGTATAATTATAGGCAATTTCTTCCAATCTTATTGGAAATATGAGCAATTATCCATGAGCGTATCAAGATTTCAAAAGATTTTTAGAGCCAAAAATGAGATTTCCTTCTGGATTTTTTTTCTCATTGAAATTTCCAAATTCAAATGATGTTAGAGTTGTTTCTGAGTTATTTGGACTCGCTCTATCGATTTAGGGAGTCAGAATTAAGGAAAATTGAAAAATAAAAAAATTCATTTTTTTCTATGGTTATCCCCTTTGGATTTTTATTTACAATGCTTCAAACCTGAGTATCTCGGTAACCAGTGGCGGTACTAAAATAAAATTATCAGGAATTATAGCTCTGGATAAGGGCTTTAAAGTGGTATTTAGTTGAAATCGCTAGCATTTACGGTTTTTGAGAAAATCAAGATTGAACTTTTGAGCAAAATTTTGACTAAAATCTAAATTTGAGCCTCAATACCTCGGAAACCAAATGTAGTATTAAAGCCAAATTGACAGGGCTTGTAGAGAATTTAATGCTCTTTTCAACCATGTATAATTATAGGCAATTTCTTCCAATCTTATTGGAAATATGAGCAATTATCCATGAGCGTATCAAGATTTCAAAAGATTTTTAGAGCCAAAAATGAGATTTCCTTTTGCATTTTTTTTCTCATTGAAATTTCCAAATTCAAATGATGTTAGAGTTGTTTCTGAGTTATTTGGACTCGCTCTATCGATTTAGGGAGTCAGAATTAAGGAAAATTGAAAAATAAAAAAATTCATTTTTTTCTATGGTTATCCCCTTTGGATTTTTATTTACAATGCTTCAAACCTGAGTATCTCGGTAACCAGTGGCCGTACTAAAATAAAATTATCAGGAATTAAAGCTCTGGATTAGGGCTTCAGAATGGTAGGCAATTTCTTTAAATCTTATTGGAAATATGAGCAACTATCCATGAGCGTGTCAAGATTTCAAAAGATTTTTAGAGCCAAAAATGAGATTTCCTTTTGGATTTTTTTTCTTATTGAAATTTCCAAATTCAAATGATGTTAGAGTTGTTTCTGAGTTATTTGGACTCGCTCTATCGATTTAGGGAGTCAGAATTAAGGAAAATTGAAAAATAAAAAAATTCATTTTTTTCTATGGTTATCCCCTTTGGATTTTTATTTACAATGCTTCAAACCTGAGTATCTCGGTAACCAGTGGCGGTACTAAAATAAAATTATCAGGAATTATAGCTCTGGATAAGGGCTTTAAAGTGGTATTTAGTTGAAATCGCTAGCATTTACGGTTTTTGAGAAAATCAAGATTGAACTTTTGAGCAAAATTTTGACTAAAATCTAAATTTGAGCCTCAATACCTCGGAAACCAAATGTAGTATTAAAGCCAAATTGACAGGGCTTGTAGAGAATTTAATGCTCTTTCCAACCATGTATAATTATAGGCAATTTCTTCCAATCTTATTGGAAATATGAGCAATTATCCATGAGCGTATCAAGATTTCAAAAGATTTTTAGAGCCAAAAATGAGATTTCCTTTTGGATTTTTTTTCTCATTGAAATTTCCAAATTCAAATGATGTTAGAGTTGTTTCTGAGTTATTTGGACTCGCTCTATCGATTTAGGGAGTCAGAATTAAGGAAAATTGAAAAATAAAAAAATTCATTTTTTTCTATGGTTATCCCCTTTGGATTTTTATTTACAATGCTTCAAACCTGAGTATCTCGGTAACCAGTGGCGGTACTAAAATAAAATTATCAGGAATTATAGCTCTGGATAAGGGCTTTAAAGTGGTATTTAGTTGAAATCGCTAGCATTTACGGTTTTTGAGAAAATCAAGATTGAACTTTTGAGCAAAATTTTGACTAAAATCTAAATTTGAGCCTCAATACCTCGGAAACCAAATGTAGTATTAAAGCCAAATTGACAGGGCTTGTAGAGAATTTAATGCTCTTTCCAACCATGTATAATTATAGGCAATTTCTTCCAATCTTATTGGAAATATGAGCAATTATCCATGAGCGTATCAAGATTTCAAAAGATTTTTAGAGCCAAAAATGAGATTTCCTTTTGGATTTTTTTTCTCATTGAAATTTCCAAATTCAAATGATGTTAGAGTTGTTTCTGAGTAATTTGGACTCGCTCTATCGATTTAGAGAATCAAAATTAAGGAAAATTGAAAAATAAAAAATTTCATTTTTTTGGATTTTTATTTACAATTCTTTAAACCTGAGTATTTCGGTAACCAGTGGCAGTACTGGAATAAAATTATCAGGAATTATAGCTCCGGATAAGGGCTTTAGAATGGTGTTTAGTTGAAATCGCTAGCAATTACGGTTTTTGAGAAAATCAAGATTGAACTTTTGAGCAAAATTTTAACTAAAATCCAACTTTGAGCCTCAATACCTCGGAAACCAAAGGCAATATCGAAATTAACAGGATTTATAGAGAATTTAATACTCTCTCCAACCATGTATAATTTACATCAGTTTACTCTATCTCAATTGAAGATATAAGCAATTATTTATGAACGAAACAATGAGATTTATGTTTAAACTTATTGAAACGTGCATTTTTTCAACAATTTTGACCTGCTCTGTACATTAATAAACTCAAAATTGCTATATTTGCACCATACGTATGCAAAAAATTCAATGATCTAACTATTTGGAACCGTATATATTTTCACTCAGTCAAGAGATACTTGAAATATATATCAAGGCTATAGTGATAGCATTGTTTCCAATAAAGCACTTGACGATTTTTCCTTTTAGTCATTAATTGAAAATGCGCAATTAGCACAAAATCAGACTCCAAATAATAATGTAGCAAAAGCAGATACTTTCAAAGCACACAGATACATGAGTCATAATTTCAAAATAATAATTCCCAATCAATTTTTCTGTTTATCCAAATGACAAAATTCTATGTACCTTATTATCTTGAAATTTAAAAAGCCACTCGAGCCTAGTGCAAACAATTACGAGAAAAACTGATAGTGATAAGGCTTTTTCCAATCGAAAAAGGAGGACCGAGTATATCGAAAACAAATAAATCAGACAATGATAAACTAGATCGAGTGCTTATACCTTGATCCTGATTAATCAGGTGATAATCTACTTATAAAAGAGCCTGAAGCCATCAACTACGCCTTAGAAACCAGATTCAATTCAAAGCAAAATGTTGTCCAAAGTTTCAATTTTAGCTGTACTAGCTGTAGGTGCTTACCTTTCAGTATCCAACATTGGTAAGCAATAGTTTATTATAATAAATTTATAATTTTATTGGAAAATGTTTAGGTGCTGATGCTTCCCTTATGTGCTACACCTGCAACACAACGGACCAATGCAGCAGCCCTGTTGACAAGAAAAACCTAAACATGACCACTTGTGGAGAAGGCGAACAATGCGTTAAATTCAACTACCACTCAGCAAAAAACTGGACAGGTAATAATTCATACATTCATATTATTAATTCATATTTATATTTATATATTTAGACATTCTCACATGGAGAGGCTGTAATAAGAACCAAACTTGCGATACTTTAAATACCACTTGGAGCAACATCAATCAAACTCTTGCCGGCTGCTGGCTTTGCAATAAAAACCATTGTAATTCCGCTAGTACTTTTGCAGTACCTTTGGTAGCTATGCTTGTTAGCTTTTTGGCAGTTAAATTTGTACAATAGATTTATATGTTTAGTTGGCAAATAATGTGATAATAAAACCAATTAATGTGTCTATTAATAATTATTCAATTGTCATAAGAAGCATCATATATGAGTAGGTGCCTTTAAGAATCTGAAACAAAAAAAATTAGGGGACAAATTTAATTTGAAACAAATTGAAATCCTTACAGCTAAAAAAGTTGTCAAAGAAATAGGCCCCAAGGCTCCGATGGTAATGCAAAGAGGCTTTTGAGCTCTCATGATACAAAAAACCATATCCCTCCTCACATCTTCTGGTAATTCATTCCATGGGATGTTGTACCAAGTGGAAGCGACCTTTTGACTTTGCACCGACAACATATGGGCGTTATTGCAGTAAATGAAAATCCTGGCTATTAGAGTGAGGATGAATTCGCCCAATAATATACATTGGATGATGTTGAGGTTGGTCTATAATTCAATATCAGTGTATTGTGAAAATCAAAATGCTAGTAGGTTACCATTAGTTGAAATATTATGCCAGCTAGTTGAATAGAGCTAGGCACAAAATCTAAAAACATTATGTTTTTTAGGGCACTATTTAGCTCTTTGATATAGGTTATTGCTTCTTGGTGCATCATTATTAGCTCCCTTTGCAGTATTCTAAAAGATTCTTCTTGGGTGCATTCTTGATTTATTTCAATATCTTTAGAATATTGGTAGAAATTTGAAATAAAATGATTCAAGATGTTTATTTGGCAAACACCAAACATTATAAAGCTGTATGGAAGTGGTTTATAAATAATAAGTTTGAATTAAGTATTGATTTTGTTGGTAAATACCTGTAACAAGTCAAATCAGTTGTGACAAAGAAAATGGTCAAATAAGCTCCAGCACTTGAAGTCCAAATGTAGGAAAACCAATAGTTTTCTTCTAGGGGTGTCCAAGAGGATAATGGCATTTGTTGGACAACAATCGTCCTGTTGCCTTTTTGGATGTAATAAGGATCTGCAATGATATATTATACTATATGTATTTTGGTATAGTAATTCCAAACTGAATTGGAACAAGATACCAACTGGTGGCTGACTGGTCACTGCAATTTTTCCATAAGAAATGCACAGCAACCAATTATGATTTATAATGTTTTGTAAGGTAATACTCTACAAACAATTTTTTCACTCAAAAACTGAAGTGAATGCAGAATATTGAAATTCTAAGGACTTTTTCCTAATGATTGAATGTAAAAAATACCAAAAACTCAAAGCGATTGAATTATTATTAATGGAGTTACGATTTTTTGAAAATAATGTTGTTTTGTAAAGTAAGACTTTACAAACAATTTTTTCACTCAAAAACTGCAGTGAGTGGAAAGTTGATATTTTGAGGACATTTTCCTAATGATTCAATGTAGAAAATACTAAAAACTCAAAGCGATTCAGTTATTATTAAGGGAGTTACGATTTTTTGAAAATAATGATGTTTTGTAAAGTAATATTCTACAAACAATTTTTTCACTCAAAAACTAAAGTGAGTGGAAAGTTGAAATTTTGAGGACCTTTTCCTAATGATTCAATGTGAAAAATACTAAAAACTCAAAGCGATCGAGTTATTATTAATGGAGTTACGATCTTTTGAACATAATGATGTTTTGTAAACTATGACTTTACAAACAATTTTTTCACTCAAAAACTAAAGTGAGTCGGAAATTGAAATTTTGAGGACTTTTTCCTAATGATTCAATGGAAAAAATACTAAAAACTCAAAGCGATTGAGTTATTATTAATGGAGTTACGATTTTTTGAAAATAATGATGTTTTGTAAAGTAATACTCTAAACAATTTTTTCACTCAAAAACTGAAATGAGTGCAGAGTTGAAATCTTGAGGACATTTTCCCAATAATTCAATGTAGAAAATACTAAAAACTCAAAGCGATTGAGTTATTATTAATGGAGTTACGATTTTTTGAAAATAATGATGTTTTGTAAAGTAATACTCTAAACAATTTTTTCACTCAAAAACTGAAATGAGTGCAGAGTTGAAATCTTGAGAACTTTTTTCCAATAATTCAATGTAGAAAATACTAAAAACTCAAAGCGATTGAGTTATTATTAATGGAGTTACGATTTTTTGAAAATAATGATGTTTTGTAAAGTTAGATTTTACAAACAATTGTTTCACGCAAAAACTAAAGTGAGTGGAAAGTTGAAATTTTGAGGACTTTTTCCTAATGATTCAATGTAAAAAATACTAAAAACTCAAAGCGATTGAGTTATTATTAATGGGAGTTACGATTTTTTGAAAATAATGATGTTTTGTAAAGTAATACTATAAACAATTTTTTCACTCAAACACTGAAATGAGTGCAGAGTTGAAATTTTGAGGACTTTTTCCCAATAATTCATCGTAGAAAATACTAAAAACTCAAAGCGATTGAGTTATTATTAATGGAGTTACGATTTTTTGAACATAATGATGTTTTGTAAACTATGACTTTTACAAACAATTTCACTCAAAAACTAAAGTGAGTCGGAAGTTGAAATTTTGAGGGCTTTTTCCTAATGATTCAATGTGAAAAATACTAAAAACTCAAAGCGATCGAGTTATTATTAATGGAGTTACGATCTTTTGAACATAATGATGTTTTGTAAACTATGACTTTACAAACAATTTTTTCACTCAAAAACTAAAGTGAATCGGAAGTTGAAATTTTGAGAACTTTTTCCTAATGATTCAATGGAAAAAATACTAAAAACTCAAAGCGATTGAGTTATTATTAATGGAGTTACGATTTTTTGAACATAATGATGTTTTGTAAACTATGACTTTTACAAACAATTTCACTCAAAAACTAAAGTGAGTCGGAAGTTGAAATTTTGAGGACCTTTTCCTAATGATTCAATGTGAAAAATACTAAAAACTCAAAGCGATCGAGTTATTATTAATGGAGTTACGATCTTTTGAACATAATGATGTTTTGTAAACTATGACTTTACAAACAATTTTTTCACTCAAAAACTAAAGTGAGTCGGAAGTTGAAATTTTGAGGACTTTTTCCTAATGATTCAATGGAAAAAATACTAAAAACTCAAAGCGATTGAGTTATTATTAATGGAGTTACGATTTTTTGAAAATAATGATGTTTTGTAAAGTAATACTCTAAACAATTTTTTCACTCAAAAACTGAAATGAGTGCAGAGTTGAAATCTTGAGGACATTTTCCCAATAATTCAATGTAGAAAATACTAAAAACTCAAAGCGATTGACTTATTATTAATGGAGTTACGATTTTTTGAAAATAATGATGTTTTGTAAAGTAATACTCTAAACAATTTTTTCACTCAAAAACTGAAATGAGTGCAGAGTTGAAATCTTGAGGACTTTTTTCCAATAATTCAATGTAGAAAATACTAAAAACTCAAAGCGATTGAGTTATTATTAATGGAGTTACGATTCTTTGAAAATAATAATGTTTTGTAAAGTACCTAAGACTTTATCTTTTCCAAATTTTGTTTCTCCAACCCTAAAGGCCAGAGTTCACCATGGAAGACTCTCCTATTCAGAATTTACTGTAAGAATCTCTTCTACATAGTAGAATTCACATTTAATAGAAACCTTTTCTTACCCCTAAAAGATGGTGCAGCAATATAAAACACCACAACAACCAAAATCCCCACAGCATAATAATTCCTGGTTCTTCGCATGCTGGATAAAACTTGCTCGTAAATTGCAACAATTTGCTTGTTGCCACTCTCGTACACTTGCTTCTCGTAGTTGATTATTTTCTTAAAAATCCTCCCACCAAGTTTACCTATATGCAAACTAAAATTACCTACTTTTGATAAGCTATATATAGAAAAATCTTACTCCTTAAAAAGAGGCATTTGAGCAATGATGTAAAGTGTAACCCGGTGATTACGAAATTCCTAATCAGCTCGTCGAAAATGAAAATATCAGCGGTGATGATTTGATAGAGTTTGATTAGTTCGCTGAGGTTGCAAAAAAGGGCCAGCAAATAAATAACAACAGTATAAATGGAGTAGAAAAGACCCTTATTGCCCAAAATATCTGGTAGCATTGCGAAATAATGAGCCAAAAGCATACAGAGCCCTAGAAAATTGTTTTTGATTGGTGCCTAAAATAATTTTGAATCAATTTCCTTATGTACTTTAAGAGAAAAGCCCTTACCAAACCCATGTTGAAGCAGCAAATGATTTAAATTCATTTATTTTTAGGGCTTTTATTTATTTAATTATATGGTTTGGTGAGCATTTATAATAATTATAGGGCTCTCTGTTTGTAGGTATTAATAATTCACCCTTTTAACACAAAAAAAACAATATTTATTGAATCAATTATTGATAACTAACAATCTTTGGCCTTCCAAACTTGACTCAATTTCTCTTGCTGCTTTTCCATCCATTCCTTTTTGGGTTTTGTACGTTTCAATTGGCCATCCCTATAAATTTCAAGCTACAATCTAAACTACAAGCTCAATTATAACATACCAAACTAAATCCACCAATCCACCTTGCTGCGCAATCAAATGCTTGACTCTATTGGCATAATCAACTGAATTTTCGTCTAGTTTCTGTTCCACTGGGGGCAAATACCAAACGTCACAAACTATGGCCCAACTGGTCATCATCATGTAAAGATATTGCACCATTGAGTATTTGCTGCTGTTCCAAAAAGCATCTCCAAATCTGGGATCATATTTGATTGCAACTGGATAAATGGGACAACCAACTTCGAAGCTGCCTTTTTTAAATTGCATCACTGATGTATTATTGATGCAGGTGCCTTCAGGAAATATCAACATTGGGGGGTTTTGAGGATTGGTGGCTGAAGTGTGCTCTTTGAGTCTTTGTAAGACCAAACTGCGGTCTTTGGCTTCTGAACGTTCAAACCAGACATGAGGAGAGGCTCTATTCAATGCCCTTTGAATTAAACCTAGTAAACCACCTTGACTTTGTCCAATCTACAAAATAATCAATTGAGCCAATAATAGAAACACAGGATTTAATTACCAATGAATAACAATTATCGTTTGATAATATTATACAGTCAATGGGGCTGGTGTGATTTGCAACGCAAATAGAGCCCTTTTGAGGCCTGAATTGTTTATTGTGCACATTGATTACTGCTGATAAGGATCTGCTAAGGATTCTGGATGCAGTCAGATAGCAACGATGATTTAACCATCTTTTAAAGGAAGATTCAGGCAATTTACTCACTAATGTAGTACTAATACCAATATAAATAAACTACAATAATAATAATTAAAAAATTTGATTTATTTTGATTCTTACTTACTCCCCAAGTGAATATATAAAGCCTCAAAGGAAGCAAGAAGCAATATCTAATCAAGCAACCAAGAATCCATAGAAAAGTCAACTTCCATGAAATAAACTCATAAGTCTGATTGGTTCTAGTAAGGAAATTCCAATTTTTCAATTCTTCTGCTTCAAATCTAGAAGTCACTTGGTCTTCAATTATAGCTTCCATAGCGCTTTTAGCATAATCCAGCGATTTGAGCCAGTGTTTCTTGTCAAAGCTTATTTTGTTTTCCTGAGACTTTTTATTAGTAGCTGTTGTCAATTCTGGTATTAAAATTGAGTCTCCAGATCGATCTATAATCGATTCATTTTTGTTGGGGAGTCCTTCACCAAACCCTTCATCTTCTGATTCGATTTCGGCAACCCTTTGGAGTCTTTTTCTGTTTGCTTGTTCAATATTTGACCTTCCATACTACAATAATTATGAATTAATTTTTTGGAGTTTTAGTAGTTGAATATCTTACCTCAAAAATATACAAGAGGAGCTTGATGTAGAGTCTTCTTACTCCTAATTGTTGGTTAATGGCTGCCAAAAACACTATACACCCTAGAAAAAGGTTCCATGGTACTATTAATATAGATAAAATACTTCCCACTAGTCCCAGAGACATGGTTATTTGGTTTCAACTACATTTAAAATGTTATAAATTCATTTTATCAGTAACATATTTTGATAAGATTATGTATAGGAGTGGATGAACAAAGTCAAAAATACAAACTATTAGTCACCAATAAATACGCAGCTCTGTGTGACATTATAAATAAAATAAAAATGCATGGTGGATTTGTGTGTGTGAGTACTACAAGGTCAAAGCATTTAGAATGGTCAAGTTGATTTCAAATTTTGCTTATTCCTGGCGTCTGGTTTTTCTTGAAAACCTTTTCAAAAAAAGAAAATTGGAAAATAAAATGAGAGTCTGGAATAGAAAAACTAAAAGTTTCACAATTTTCTACTCAAGAGTTTTTTGGAAAACCTTAACAGTGTGAGAGGGTGTTGTTGGATAAACTGATATTCATATCAGTGAACCAAAAATTAATAAATTGAACTTTGATTATAATCCTGCTAATTTATGTTGCAGCTATAGATGACTAAATGTGTTTATAATAGTTTTTATATGTAAGATAAACAGATGAGGAATTGTTTACAAGAAAGGGTTTGTAATTATTTAGATCCATTTAAAATTCTAGTATAATGGGCTGCCAACCTTCCTCTTTCTTTTCTAGAAGTTTCACAATTTTCTCCCCAACAAATTTTTGGAAAACTATGTATAAGAGTGTAAGAGGATATTCCTATTTATATATTAATTTTATTCGTCATTTTCATAGTCTAAGCTCAAGAACTGTTCTTGTGGTTGTTAGATTCATTTGAAATTCTAGTATAATGGGCATCCAACCTTCTTTTTTCTGCATTGAAAGTTTCAAAATGTTCTCCTCAACAGTTCTTAGGAAAAATATAAAAGTACAAGAAGATGTTCCTATTTATATTAATTTTATTGGTAATTTTCATAGTCTAAGCTCAAGACTGTTCATGTGGTTGTTGGATCCATTTGAAATTGTAGTATAATGGGCTTCTAACCTTCCTCTTTCTATACTGAAAGTTTCAAAATGTTCTCCTCAACAGTTCTTTGGGGAAATATAAGAGTGCAAGAAGATGTTCCTATTTATATTAATTTTATTGGTAATTTTCATAGTCTAAGCCCAAGCTATTCATGTGATTGTTAAATCCATTTGAAATTCTAGTATATTAGGCTTCTAACCTTCCTCTTTCTATACTGAAAGTTTCAAAATGTTCTCCTCAACAGTTCTTAGGAAAAATATAAAAGTACAAGAAGATGTTCCTATTTATATTAATTTTATTGGTAATTTTCATAGTATAAGCCCAAGCTATTCATGTGATTGTTAAATCCATTTCAAACTCTAGTATATTGGGCTTCTAACCTTCCTCTTTCTATACTGAAAGTTTCAAAATGTTCTCCTCAACAGTTCTTTGGGGAAATATAAGAGTGCAAGAAGATGTTCCTATTTATATTAATTTTATTGGTAATTTTCATAGTCTAAGCCCAAGCTATTCATGTGATTGTTAAATCCATTTGAAATTCTAGTATATTAGGCTTCTAACCTTCCTCTTTCTATACAGAAAATAGCAAAATGTTCTCCTCAACAGTTCTTAGGAAAAATATAAAAGTACAAGAAGATGTTCCTATTTATATTAATTTTATTGGTAATTTTCATAGTCTAAGCTCAAGACTGTTCATGTGGTTGTTGGATCCATTTGAAATTGTAGTATAATGGGCTTCTAACCTTCCTCTTCCTATACTGAAAGTTTCAGAATGTTCTTCTCAACAGTTATTTGGCAAAATATAAGAGTGCGAAGATGTTCCTATTTATATTAATTTTATTGGTAATTTTTATAGTCTAAGCCCAAGAACTATTGATGTGATTGTTAGATCCATTTGAAATTGTAGTATAATGGGCTTCTAACCTTCCTCTTTCTATACTGAAAGTTTCAAAATGTTCTCCTCAACAGTTCTTTGGGAAAACGTAAAAGTGCAAGAAGATGTTCCTATTTATATTAATTTTATTGGTAATTTTTATAGTCTAAGCCCAAGAACTATTGATGTGATTGTTAGATCCATTTGAAATTGTAGTATAATGGGCTTCTAACCTTCCTCTTCTTATACTGAAAGTTTCAGAATGTTCTCCTCAACAGTTCTTTGGGAAAATATAAGAGTGTAAGAAGATGTTCCTATTTATATTAATTTTATTGGTAATTTTCATAGTTTAAGCCCAAGACTATTCATGTGATTGTTAAATCCATTTGAAATTCTAGTATATTAGGCTTCTAACCTTCCTCTTTCTATACTGAAAGTTTCAAAATATTCCCCCCAACAGTTCTTTGGAAAAACATAAAAGTGCAAGAAGATGTTCCTATTTATATTTATTTTATTGGTAATTTTTATAGTCTAAGCCCTAACTATTCTTGTGATTGTTAAATCTATTTGAAATTGAAGTATAATGGGCTTCCAACCTTCCTCTTTTTATACTGAAAGTTTCAAAATGTTCTCCTCAACAGTTCTTTGGAAAAATATAAAAGTGCAAGAAGATGTTCCTATTTATATTAATTTTATTGGCAATTTTCATAGTCTAAGCCCAAGAACTATTCATGTGATTGTTAGATCCATTTGAAATTGCAGTATATTGGGGCTTCTAACCTTCCTTCTTTTTACTCCAGAAGTTTCAAAATTTCCGTCCATTCCTGGCTTATACATTTTTGTTTTCCCTCAAACCTAATTTAAATTGGTAATAATTTAAATTTAAGTGATTCTACTATAACTATTAAATTTATTATTGATTTTATGGGTTTTACCAATAAACGTTTAAACGAATTTGATTTTTTTTTGGTGAATGTCTGAATCTCAATAGTAATAGTAGTTGTGAGAAATCTTAATTTAATTTTTGTTAAGATTATTGTAGCTCTCATGAAGCCAATATACTCATGCCCAGTTTTCCAGCTAAAATATCTCAAAGTTTAAGTATTTATTGTATACTAAGCCTAATATAAGACCTAATACCCTTTTCCCTTTATGATGAAATCAAAATTTACAACTTAGATAGGTAGAGATTATGGATAAATTGACTTTACCATTAAAATGTCCTTAAAAAAAAAGGAAAATTCCAAAACAATTAAGAGCAATACGCATTTAAAAAAACATAACGAAAACAAACAATGCAAACCAATAATGAGAGTCAATTATCGTCCATCCTCTCGAGACTTTACCCATTAATGAAGTACTTAAAATAATGTGCACTTTATCTTATTTATTTTCTGCTTGACCAGTTCGTACGTCGATGATCGAGGCTATATTACCTGGTCCGGGTGCCGGTTCCAATTTAGTTGGTGCCTTTGTTTTACGCTGATTGGTTCTATTATTGGTAAGTACCTTAGTGAAAAGTCAAAAATTCAATTATTGGTTATTATTTTGTAGATTTCAAAATGAAATTGTTTTTATTTGTGTTGGCTTCGTTGTATTATTGCAACGTTTCGGCCAAAGAATCTTCAGTTTACGATTTTACCGTCAAAGATATCCAAGGCAATGATGTTAAGCTGGACAAGTACAAAGGAAAAGTTTTGTTGATTGTTAATGTTGCCTCAAATTGTGGTTTAACAGAAACCAATTACAAACAACTAAATGAGTTGTACGACAAGTACCAGGAAAAGGGCTTGAGGATTTTGGCCTTCCCTAGTAATCAGTTTATGAACCAGGAACCTGGAACCAATGAGGAAATAGCTGAGTTTGCCAAAAATCACAACGTCAAGTTTGATATGTTTAGCAAAGTGGAAGTTAATGGAGACAATGCTGATCCTTTCTACAAATATTTGAAAATGAAACACGCTGGTACTACTAATAAAGATGGAGCGATTGAATGGAACTTTGCTAAGTTTATTGTTGATAAAAATGGACAAGTAAGTTAATAATTTTGAATTATTTTATTTATTAAAATTATTTATTTGCAGGTCGTGGAGCGTCACATGCCTAAAAAGGAGCCTAAGGAGTTGATGGAAGTGATTGAAAAATATTTGTAGTTGTATTTAGGGTATTGTTAATCGATACAAGTAAATAATAAACCAAAAAATTTAAAAAAAAGGGTACATTTTTATTTACTAATTCACATATCCTGAAATAATCTATTGTAGCTCCGTTATTTTATATTTTTTGTAAATTCTGGCTTCACTATTGAAAAGAGGAGCCTAAAATTAGTCGAAAACAACACTCAAATTATCATAGTGAAGTTATTTTATTTTGAGCAAAAAAAGCTCATTTTTGGTCATGAAAACTTTTCCAAATACTGACATGATGTTGAATAATCACTTATAACTTTATTATTTCTGAAATAAAGCAAATTAAACACAGTTGGAAAGATGATTAAATTTTCTACAAAATGGCACTAGATTGAATTAAATAGCTTTTGTTGTTTTGGAGATATAGGACTCCAAAGTTGAAACTTAGTTAAGATTTGGTATAAAATTTAAAGGCTGTGTAGCTCCGAAACTAAGCATCATAGCAAGATGGATGGATTAATGGAGTTATGATTTTTTGAAAATAATGATGTTTTGTAAAGTAAGACTCTACAAACAATTTTTTCACTCAAAAATTGAAATGAGTACAGAGTTAAAATTTTGAGGACTTTTTCCTGATGATTCAATATGAAAAATACTAAAAATTCAAAGGGATTGAGTTATTATTAATGGAGTTACGATTTTTTGAAAATAATGATGTTTTGTAAAGTAAGACTCTACAAACAATTTTTTCACTCAAAAACTAAAATGATTACAGAGTTAAAATTTTGAGAACTTTTTCCTAATGATTCAATGTAAAAAATACTAAAAACTCAAAGCGATTGAGTTATTATTAATGGAGTTACGATTTTTTGAAAATAATGATGTTTTGTAAAGTAAGACTCTACAAACAATTTTTTCACTCAAAAACTAAAAGGTGTGGAATGTTGAAATTTTGAGAACTTTTTCCTAATGATTCAATGTAAAAAATACTAAAAACTCAAAGCGATTGAGTTATTATTAATGGAGTTACGATTTTTTGAAAATAATGATGTTTTGTAAAGTAAGACTCTACAAACAATTTTTTCACTCAAAAACTAAAAGGTATGGAATGTTGAAATTTTGAGGACTTTTTCCTAATGATTCAATGTAAAAAATACCAAAAACTCGAAGCGATTGAGTTATTATTAATGGAGTTACGATTTTTTGAAAATAATGATGTTTTGTAATGTAAGACTTTCCAAACAATTTTTTCACTCAAAAACTAAAGTGAGTGAAAAGTTGAACTTTTGAGGACTTTTTCCTAATGATTTCATACAAAAAATACCAAAAACTCGAAGCGATTGAGTTATTATTAATGCAGTTACGATTTTTTGAAAATAATGATGTTTTGTAAAGTAAGACTCTACAAACAATTTTTTCACTCAAAAACTAAAATGATTACAGAGTTAAAATTTTGAGAACTTTTTCCTAATGATTCAATGTAAAAAATACTAAAAACTCAAAGCGATTGAGTTATTATTAATGGAGTTACGATTTTTTGAAAATAATGATGTTTTGTAAAGTAAGACTCTACAAACAATTTTTTCACTCAAAAACTAAAAGGAGTGGAATGTTGAAATTTTGAGGACTTTTTCCTAATGATTTATTGTAAAAAATACTTAAAACACAAAGCGATTGAGTTATTATTAATGGAGTTACGATTTTTTGAAAATAATGATGTTTTGTAAAGTAAGACTCTACAAACAATTTTTTCACTCAAAAACTAAAAGGTGTGGAATGTTGAAATTTTGAGAACTTTTTCCTAATGATTCAATGTAAAAAATACTAAAAACTCAAAGCGATTGAGTTATTATTAATGGAGTTACGATTTTTTGAAAATAATGATGTTTTGTAAAGTAAGACTCTACAAACAATTTTTTCACTCAAAAACTAAAAGGTGTGGAATGTTGAAATTTTGAGAACTTTTTCCTAATGATTCAATAAAATACTAAAAACTCAAAGCGATTGAGTTATTATTAATGGAGTTACGATTTTTTGAAAATAATGATGTTTTGTAAAGTAAGACTCTACAAACAATTTTTTCACTCAAAAACTAAAAGGTGTGGAATGTTGAAATTTTGAGAACTTTTTCCTAATGATTCAATGTAAAAAATACTAAAAACTCAAAGCGATTGAGGTTATTATTAATGGAGTTACGATTTTTTGAAAATAATGATGTTTGTAAAGTAAGACTCTACAAACAATTTTTTCACTCAAAAACTAAAAGGTATGGAATGTTGAAATTTTGAGGACTTTTTCCTAATGATTCAATGTAAAAAATACCAAAAACTCGAAGCGATTGAGTTATTATTAATGGAGTTACGATTTTTTGAAAATAATGATGTTTTGTAATGTAAGACTTTCCAAACAATTTTTTCACTCAAAAACTAAAGTGAGTGAAAAGTTGAACTTTTGAGGACTTTTTCCTAATGATTTCATACAAAAAATACCAAAAACTCGAAGCGATTGAGTTATTATTAATGCAGTTACGATTTTTTGAAAATAATGATGTTTTGTAAAGTAAGACTCTACAAACAATTTTTTCACTCAAAAACTAAAATGATTACAGAGTTAAAATTTTGAGAACTTTTTCCTAATGATTCAATGTAAAAAATACTAAAAACTCAAAGCGATTGAGTTATTATTAATGGAGTTACGATTTTTTGAAAATAATGATGTTTTGTAAAGTAAGACTCTACAAACAATTTTTCACTCAAAAACTAAAAGGAGTGGAATGTTTGAAATTTTGAGGACTTTTTCCTAATGATTTATTGTAAAAAATACTTAAAACACAAAGCGATTGAGTTATTATTAATGGAGTTACGATTTTTTGAAAATAATGATGTTTTGTAAAGTAAGACTCTACAAACAATTTTTTCACTCAAAAACTAAAAGGTGTGGAATGTTGAAATTTTGAGAACTTTTTCCTAATGATTCAATGTAAAAAATACTAAAAACTCAAAGCGATTGAGTTATTATTAATGGAGTTACGATTTTTTGAAAATAATGATGTTTTGTAAAGTAAGACTCTACAAACAATTTTTTCACTCAAAAACTAAAAGGTGTGGAATGTTGAAATTTTGAGAACTTTTTCCTAATGATTCAATGTAAAAAATACTAAAAACTCAAACCGATTGAGTTATTATTAATGGAGTTGCGATTTTTTGAAAATAATGATGTTTTGTAATGTAAGACTTTACAAACAATTTTTTCACTCAAAAACTGAAGTGAGTGCAGAGTTGAAATTTTGAGGACTTTTTCCTAATGTCTCAATATAAAAAATACTAAAAATTCAAACCGATTGAGTTATTATTAATGGAGTTATGATTTTTTGAAAATAAGGATGTTTTGTAAAATAATACTCTACAAACAATTTTTTCACTCAAAAACTGAAGTGAGTGCAGAGTTGAAATTTTGAGGACTTTTTTCTGATGATTCAATGTAAAAAATACTAAAAATTCAAAGGGATTGAGTTATTATTAATGGAGTTACGATTTTTTGAAAATAATGATGTTTTTTAAAGTAAGACTCTACAAACAATTTTTTCACTCAAAAACTGAAATGAGTACAGAGTTAAAATTTTGAGGACTTTTTCCTAATGAATCAATGTAAAAAATATCAAAAACTCAAAGCGATTGAATTATTATTAATGGAGTTACGATTTTTTGAAAATAATGATATTTTGTAAAGTAAGATTTTACAAACAATTTTTTTACTCAAAAACTAAAAGGAGTGGAATGTTGAAATTTTGAGAACTTTTTCCTAATGATTCAATGTAAAAAATACTAAAAACTCAAAGCGATTGAATTATTATTAATGGAGTTACAACTTTTTGAAGATAATGATGTTTTGTAAAAGCATTATAATATAGGGCATTGTTTCATTTAATTTTTTTTCGCAAATTCTGACTTCACCATTGAAAAGAGGAGCCCAAAATTAGTCGAAAACAACACTCAAACCATCATTATGAAGCTATTTTCTCTTGAGCAAAAAAAGCTCATCTTTGGTCCTGAAAATGTTCCCAAATCCTGACATGCTAGTGAATAATCACTTATAACTTCATTATTTCTGAATTAAATCAAATGAAAGTATATACAGTTGGAAAGAAGATTAAATTCTCTATAAAATGGTATAAGATTTTATTTAAATAGCTTTTGTTGTTTTGAAGATATAAGGTTTCAAAGTTGAAACTTAGTCAAAATTTGCCATAAAACTAAAAGGCTGTGTAGCTCCAAAACTAAGCATTGTAGCTAAATCGTTTATAGAACTTTTTTTGTAGCATTTAATGAGGGCTACAATGGAGTGGAAGAATCAACTCGATATCGCCTACGGTTACCGAAATATTAGGGTTTGAAAATTTGCAAAACCAAATTCTAAGGCTACCCCCTTTGTAAAAAAAAATGGCTACATTTTTTTTTGGGATGTTTGAACTTTTATGGATAAAATCGTTCAATTGGGCTTCAACTTGATACATTATGAATAAAAATAAAATTATTAAGGAAACTGCCCATTCAAGTCCCATGTTAACAAAACAATAATTGATTTTCTCATCAAGAACCTCTGAAATATACAATCTTTACATTGCAATTTGCATACAATTAATTACTATTACTCAGGAAAAAATCCCAATTTTTTTTTAGCAACGTTTATCAACATCAAATACTTAATAATTAAATATTAAAATCACTTTTTTTATTCATTATATACAAACACCCATTATAATATGCTTCTCTTAAAACATAATTATACACGAAATTACCAATTCTAATTGATTTCGCGGAATCCTATAGAGGACACCTTGACAAATTAAATCCTAATTTCCAGTTATCTGCGGGGTTAATAAACAGATCTAAAAAGAACGTTGACTTTATTAATTTTAAGTTGTTTTGATGCCCTAATAGCAAATGAATTATTCATTAAGGCCAACCAGAAGATGACGCCAAGGAATGAGGAGCTTAATGCACTAATAAGGGCCTAATTACCTTAAAAAGGATTAACATAATTTTATTATAAAGTTATAAAGCCTCAAAAACAATTTGACTATAGGGGATTTACATGGCCCCAAAACTTCTTAGCTTAAAATACAGTTGAAAACTCTCAGCACAAAATTGAATCTCTTTGAAGATATATACAAGGCTCCAAAATCTAAAAAGTTGTTTATGCCCTTAAGTAAATGAATAATTAATCTAAGACCAAATTTACCCGGTCACGAAATAAGCAAACACGAAACCCAGACACACAAAAAGCCTTTCAGTTATTGTTATCATGTCCAAAGATCTGTGGTTCGTAATTTCCATTGAATTATTCATGTTCGTTTGCTATGCGGCCTTGGGACGGTACCGAAACGAGATTATACGTACCGATTATGCCAGTAAGTACTTAGATCCAGTTATGGATGGTCTTAGAAGAACGATATTCTCCACAAAAAACTTCCCCAATATGGATTTGTTTAAATTCTCCTTATTCATTTTGTTTATCCAGTGTTTCCTGTTTTTATTATTTCTGGCTTTTGGTGCTTATACTTTAATCGCGGATGCTTCCAGTTTGGGAAACAGCATTAATCCAACTTATGGAGGCTTCAACCATCAAGCCTTTAATGTTATGTCCAGATTTCATCCAAGTAGTATCACACTTTACAATTGAAATTAATTTATTAAAATTTATAGTGTTTCAGGACATCCACGTAATGATCTTTGTGGGATTTGGATTTTTAATGGTATTTTTGAAGAAATATGGATACAGTTCTTTGGGTTTTAATTTTTTGTTGGCTGCACTAGTGGTGCAATGGAGCATCTTGTGCCAGGGCTTTTACGAGCTTAACAGTGATTATAAAATCGAAATTGGACTTACTAAGTAAGAGATTGAATAACTTATCTGATTTTAAAGTTGAATGTTTCCAGCTTATATAAGGCCGATGTGGCTACAGCTACAGTACTAATTTCAATGGGTGCAGTCCTAGGCAGAACCTCACACAACCAATTGGTTTTAATGGGCCTATTAGAAATTGCAGCTTATTGTTTGAACAATGAAATCAATGTAAAATATTTAAAGGCAGTAGATGTTGGAGGTTCCATAACAATTCACACCTTTGGAGCTTACTTCGGCCTGGCAGTCAGCTATGTTTTGGCTAAAAAGCATCAGACAGAAGAACCCAATTTGCCCCAATCCTCATACACATCAAACATCCTAGCAATGTTGGGTACCATCTTCTTGTGGGTCTACTGGCCCAGCTTTAATTCAATTGACTTGGAAAAGGACAGAGCCCATAGAGCCATCGTCAATACTTATTTGTCTTTGGCTGCCAGTTGCGTGGTCACTTTTGCCGCTTCGCAAATGGGTTCCAAGAACCACAAATTCGATATTGTACACATTCAGAATTCGACTTTGGCTGGTGGAGTGGCTATAGGGGCTTGTGCTCACTTGATGGTTCAACCTTATGGGGCTGTTTTTATTGGAATGATTGCTGGATTGTTCTCGGTTTATGGATATACAACAATTTCAGTAATAGTGGAAACTGTAATGATATTTGTAATTCTAGAATTATTTACAGGCATTTTTGGAATCGAAATTTAAAATCCTAGACACTTGTGGTGTTAATAATTTGCATGGGATTCCTGGTATTTTAGGTGGGCTGATTTCCATTATCATGGCAGCTATTGCTACAGAGCAACAATATCAAAAAACACTCTACGAGGTACCTAATTTACAATACAATATTAATTGCATTTAATTCTAACTAATATATAGGTATTTCCAGCTAGAGCCAATCCAATAATATCCCAAAATCCTGAATACATTCACCTCCAAGCTGGTGATGGAAGAAGCGCAAGTCAACAGGCTGGATATCAAGCCCTTCTAATAATCGTCACAATTTCAATTGCGATTGTTTCTGGACTAATTTCTGGAATATGTCTAATGAATTTCAGCCTCTGGAATAATATCAGTCCAGATTCTTTCTATGATGATTCAGTTTTCTGGGATTTGCAAGTCAATGATGATGTTGAAACCGATTATAGGCCAACCAAGTGGAGAGTCAAAGAGAAAAACATATCAAAGATATCAGTTCAATAATAAAACCCCAATTATTCAGTTTAAAAAAAAAAGTATTTATCGGAGAACAATTAATTAAGTACTGATAATCTGACAGTATATCAAACTACACAATAATTATCTTAAATATTACACGCAGTCAGCTTATTGTTGTCTTTAAGTTAGTCTTTTTATAAATATAATAAATATATTCCTTAACACTTATAGGATAGTTTAACATTTAGGAAACCTAAAAACTATAGGAAAATATTGTTTAAAATGAGTAATTCTAACTATAATAGTTCTCACTCATTTAGAACCAGAGATTTTTCAAACTATTACAGGCTGTAGTTAATTATTATCAATTTGTGATATGTAAAGAGATAAAAATAGGTTTAATTGGCAATCACACAACCCTGTTTTTTTTTTGATATGAGTGAAAAAACGCATCGAAAAAGGTAGATAGAGAGTCAAAAATCATCAACAATTCCACTTACATTAAAGATTAATAATAATAATAATAATAATAATAATTTGCCCATTGCTGCTACAGTAAATACAATATTTCATAAAATACAATAAATAGTTTCGACCACCATTTAACAAACAAATTTTCCATATAAAAATCGACTTTTTTCTATGTACAATCTGGCAACAAACATCTCTGAAACCCTTATGTAATTTAGACCTCCATAATCCAGTTTAGCACCAGCAACAATTTAACCATTTACTGTTGACTTCATCATCCTTTTGCTATATAATTGTATCTCACCTGTGAAATTAATACATACAAATATTTTTCCTACTAATGGAATTCAATTTTACCTGCTCTTAAGACATTTGAGTAACATTGGAGCCTCCTTTTCATTATGCAAATCAATCGGTACAGTTTCCAGCAGTGGGTACCATTGGGCAATAGGTTTCCGAGGATTTTCCAGCATTTCCAGCCAGTGGTCGCGTCCTTTGCCCGGATCAGAAGGGCCA